TGCATTAGCTATTTCTGATTGGTTTTGTGTTGTACCCCGGTTGTCTGGAAGCTGGAGCGACGATACGAGCTTAGTCTTTTTGTGCTTATTAATTAAAGTGTTAATCCCCTCCCAAGTTTTTTTCATATTATTTAGCTTGCTACTAAAATAGGATTGATAGTAAAGTCTTTTACTCTGGCGAGTAAGGCTTAAAATTGTGTTCCTGTACAACTTGTATGTAGCCGTGTCACCAGAGTAAAAGAGATCGTTCTTTATTTTTATTGATCTACCTCGCATTACGGCAAGAATGTTGATTTCTAAAGCATACCAACAGCATCATGAAGTCAATCATGAATGATTAGGGATTAATAACTCAGTCAAAGTTATCCATATCTGACTCATTTATCTGAGACTAAAGTAGCCTCATTCGAGTCTTGTTCGTCTGTCTTGCAATTTTAAGAATAATTTTCGATGCGATGGCAAATAATTTATTTTCCTCTTTTTCTTAAGTAAAATGGTTGTAAATATTGCTCTGTTCTCTTATCTGAAAGGCTACACAGAAAAATCTGAGTTCCTTTACCGCCGGAGATACTAAACAACTTTAGCGAGGTAATACTTTCTTTTATGATTTTTCCTTCTTACGAACTGCTCGTTCTGGACGATGCATCACCATCAACAGGACTAGCGTATTCAAGAGCCATAATTATGGCTCTTGGCATATTTTAATGGTCATTAGAGATTGTATTTGCGGATACGGGTCCTTGGTGAGTTTGGCATCTCTATCAAGGCAAGTTTGGAGGTTAACCATCGCAGGTTACTCCCTGCATTGATCATCGTTAACATTATACAGCTGAGTTATGAGAAGCATCGTGAGAGTAAAGTGTCTTGCTCAAGAACACAATGCAATGCCCCAGCTATTTCTCAGAGCTAAACCGCGCACTAACCATCAGTTAAATTCGGAGGATTAATAGCTTCATAAACAGGTGAGAAGAAGTAATTCGTGAACTTGATTTTTTACTTTGTCGTGAAACGTGATTGTCTCGAATTTTGCGTGAACGTAAAAGAGTTATGTTTGTATGTATGTATGTATGTATGTATTTATGTATGCATTTACGAATATTTATACAGGGTAGCCCAGTTTAGCAGATAGCTAGTTTAAACGGGGCCCTGTGAACACCCACCCATCCAACCCCAGGGGAGGACATCCACCACACAGTAATCTCGTGCGTGGGAAATTAACATCTCCTACCCCTAAACCTGCAGGTTAGGGGTACGGTTTATTTATTCATTTATTTATTACGGTTAGGCCTACGGTTTATTCGTCCTTATCCGAGAAGACTAGAATATCTATCCATTTCTTGATATTATAGAAAGGTAGCAAATTATCCTCAGTTATTTTAAGACAATGAGTATTGGTCCGGCCAGGGCTCGAACCTTCAACCTCCCGCCGAGGGGATTCGTGATGCGTGAAAAAGCCAAATATTTTTACGTGACTGAGCTTACAAAGGGCTATAGGGGACCTCTGCTCTTGCAGATCACGTGGAGACCTCTCGTCAGGTTGCTCTTTGCAGGGCTTCAAACTTATATGCTGGCGAATAAACACTCAGGCCGTAGAATAAGAATGAGAATAAGAATGAGAATAATGAATGAGTCTAAGAATGAGAGCTCATTCTTACAAATTCTCTATAAAAGTTTTACCCTATGAGTTTAGTCTTTTTTTTTTTCAAGGTTAATGGACGATAAAGAGCCATTGAAGGCTGACAGAATTCAAAATGGAGTATTTGTATTGTACATAGACACGTGACCAGCCACAACTAGATCAAGTAAGATGAACTCAGGTCGGATACAAAATTGTCAGTTAAGGCAGCCTGAAGTGTTTATCATCCCATTTTGTTGTTGTTTTTTTCTTTTCATGCGTCCATGAAAATGTTTTTCTTTGCAGTTTCTTTCACGTTGAAAGGAATTTCGCTCACCGCAGAAAACGACACAAAATACGAGAGGGGTGGTCATGAGGAAATCTGACGGTGGTTCCTTTCAAAGCACAAAAACCAATGCCAAATCGTCATTTACAAAACAAAAATATATATATATTAGTTAAGATGAAGTCAATAATGTTCTGTAAACTTTAATTTAAAAGAGTGACTCCTTATTCTCGATCGGGGGGGTGGGGGTACTTAGTAAGAGGCTAATGTGGATGAGGCGCTGTGTGGGGTCGCATTCTCACGAATAGAGTGATTATATAGTGGGGTTGTATTTTTCAAAAGAGTTTCAGGAATGATGTCACACATTTTCGTTGTTTTGGGGTAAAGAAAATTCTGATAAGTAGGGATTTAAAAATGGCAAAAATTGACCAAATGCGGGTCGATGATTGGACACAGAATAGACTATAATGGGGTAGGGGTTCTGAGAGGCCAGCGGCACAAACACAACAAAAATTCATCCAACACATTTCTAATGCGTTTCCAAGAAATATTACATCATGATCCGTGGCTTGCTAGAAACCGAAGTTTAAAATTACTTGTACGTGTTAAAACCACGCCCCTCGTGGAAGTTGTTTTGGTGCCTGAATTGTTAGTTCTCTTGCTCTAGCCCAGGCCTCTCTAGGCGATAGATGAACCCTTGCTGGCTCATAAGTGGTGTTAACATTATTTAGAGCAATATGCATATCAGTATCTATTTTTGACAGATCTGAAAAATCTGATGGTAACTCATCTTCGATATTTCCTTCAGGGGACACTGTTCTCTTTTTCTTTTCCCGTCGTCCCCTCCTGCACAGCACAAACAAAACACAGTGTAAAGAGGACGCCACGAACGCAGAAACTCCAACTACGATCCCAATAACCACAGGGGTGAGGCCTTGTTCGCGGATGTCGTTTTTGTCGGAGGGAGAGATGGTTCCACTCAAAACTGAAAAAAATCAGTTTGTTCATGTTAGCTTCTCTTGCACACTGGCGTTTAAATGTTTTTAGTGGAATTAAACTTCATGTATAATACCAAGATCCTGTATATCAATTGCTCTTATTTTTTTAAGGATCGCAAGTAAGGGTTAATCGCGAAAATTAACTGAATGTGCCGAAACTGTTTAATGAACGTGCAAGGTTCTATTGTAATTTTCCATTGTAAGTTGCTAAGCTGGAATCAATAATAAGATTTACTAGGTCCTGTAATTGTCAAAATGTCAAGAAGCCCCACTTGGAGTCAACAAGTTCGGTTTCAATTTGTAGCTGTGCATCGCTTTGAGAATTAATTGAGGTATAGGGACCTCGAATTGAAGTCGTAAAATACTTTTCAAACATTCAATTATTCTTTTTCATGCTTGTTTTTCATTAAGGCCTCCCATATCTTTACCTCAATCAAAGATAAAGCATTATTGTCTATGTTTGTTAGTCTGAGTTACGCAGTGTAGGTTGCCGCGCATGCTCAAAACTATTTTTCTGTACGCACGCAAGGACTGAGGGTGTGAAGTCATGACGTCAGGTTTGGTTTTCTCGGCTTGATGGGTTACCAACGTCTACGAAATAAGTACATAAGCTTAATAAACAGTCTTACTTGTGCTGCTTTCAGCATGGAGGGTGCTTTGTGATGGCGTCGTCTCTGCAGTGTAAGGCTGACATAAAAAATCGAAAGTGCCGCGAGAAGAAATGTTTACAACTGAGACCTCAGTCATTACAGCAGATTCAGCAATAAGTGAAACTTCAAAAGATATCTTTCCCAGCTTTACCAGGTGCTCAAGACGTTTTTTTATTGTTTTGATCGGATGTAGGTCAGTCTGACCCTCGTTGCTTAAGGAAAACCGAATGGATGTCTGTGGATGGAAAACAAGTTCATTTACAGGTGATGAGACTGAGAGGGAGAATAAGATGGTGATTTATCTCTAAGTAAACGGATTGTGGCCAAAATGATATACTTTAATGGGTAAAGGTAACGAATCTGATCCAACCGACGCGTCGGCCGACACGTTGGCCGGACCTTATAGAAAGACTCTGCCTCGCTGGTACTTTCGCTTGGCTCCAAACTTCGACTCGTCGATCTCCACTGTTTTTCCTACACCTCCGATCTTCATGTCAGCGTTCATAATTTTCGTCGATCAATTTTCGGATCACTGTAGGCTTTGAAAGGCTAGTCAGTCTGGCGATGTTACTTCCAGAAGCCTTGATAGCCCACAGGAACATAATTTTCGTTCGACGAAAATTATGAACGCTGACATGAAGATCGGAGGTGTAGGAAAAACAGTGGAGATCGACTAGTCGAAGTTTGGAGCCAAGCGAAAGTACCAGCGAGGCAGAGTCTTTCTATAAGGTCCGGCCAACGTGTCGGCCGACGCGTCAGTTGGATCAGATTCGTTACCTTACCCCTTTAATGATACATTTTTTTTTTAATGTGGAAACAAGTAGAAAGATTAATAAGCTGAATAAACGAGATCAAAAAAGAAATAAATCATGGTTCATTGGTACCGCAAAATATTCTTTTACAGACGTGCGATATAAAATTCACGTCATTTTGGGCAGTACAAGAGTATCTTAATATATTTTTCTGATTTAAAAAATAAAATTTTCACTACCTTGTTGAGGCTTAAGCGACGAATTCTGCTGACTTGTGAGCTTCCCACAAGTTTACTGAGGATCGACTCCAACTGGGCCCCAACGTTGCTTTTGTCTTGTGAGGGATGTGGTACAGCTCGGTCCAAGGTAAATAAGATATGAAGACTATGGAAATGAGAAAATTCTTATTGTAATTTAAGATGCAGTTGTATACGATCATCAAGGTATCAAAAACCTACTCTGTAAATTCACGAGGACTCCTTGCGGTGTAAACTGCGCGTATATTGGCAGCAGGTCCAAGCACAACTCTACCTTGATTTACCAAGTGTTCTATGGTTTCTCGAATGGTCTTCAGTTCACTGTTTAAGGCTGTTGATTGTAATTTAACTATGATTCCATCCTGTCATAGAACAAGGTTATTAACTGAATTAGCAAATGACAGCAAAAGGCAGCGGTATAGAGGGTTTTGCAATTACCAGTCACAGAAAAGGTACAACAAAAAAAAAAAAAAACCAACACAAAAACAAACAGAAAACAAAAAAAAGTGAATAGAATGTAACCTAATTTCAATTCTCAACAGCTCCATCACCGACAAAGTCACGAATAAAATTCGCTACCTGCAGCATACTGTTTTGAAGAGCCATCGGGACACGAGGTATGCGAGATTTACCATTAACTTCTACCCCGATCAGTTTCCCTTTGCTCTTTTACTTATCTAGTCAAACTTGGCCCGATCATTCGGAAATCAAAGCTAAAGTAATTGTGTCACCTTTATACCCATAACCTATAGTCAAGAGGGGGGGAGGGGTAACTAACTTCAAGTCATTCATTTCAAGCCGGGGTAATGCCGGACGTCTACAACACCTTTAAGCGTGGGAATTGAAGAGGACTAAACATTCTTTTCATGCTAAGTCTGATAGAAAAGTCAGTGTCAAACTAATCACTACTAGTACGCTTCTGGCTGTTCGTCGGATTTTTAATTAAGCATTTATGTTTTTGTAGCAATGTCACGGTTTTAGCCTTAAAATTAGTCCCAGATAAAGCAGGAGTGTAGTTTAGGTATTCAATGAACTGTTCACTTGCCTTCCGCAGCTGTAAAAGACCAATGTTAAGGGGAGAGATACTGGTTACAAGTCGCAGTAACTTTGTCTTCAATAGGTATTTAACAGTGTTTTGTTGATCAACAGGTAAACTCGTGAAGTTATGGCAAGGAAAACGGACAAGCATCGACAAACTAAAAACAAAATGTTTAGAAACCTTAAATGTTAGTTTCGTAAGCCATAATCATGCGTTATATTCAAAAACTGTAAACCATATTCATACATTGTAATCTTGCTCTTCGTTTTCTCCACATTCTTAATCTTTTTATTTTTAGAGAAAAGAAGCTCGAATGTTCGTCAGTAAAAGGCTGCTTTTAACATTTGAAGGAAACGTGAATTATTTTGGTTGTTAACATAAACGTAAGTTTTGATTTCCGATATTCCGTTACCTTTGACCTGTTCTACATTCTGAGCTGCATGATGGAACTTCTCGGCCTGAACACCAGTGACAGCTTAAAGTGTTTCCACATTCACTTATGTTCGCTCTACAAACAAAAAAAAAATAAAAAAATCATCGAGTTAATGTTTGGTTTTTGTGATCTCAGCGATTATACTATTATCAGATAGTCTGTCTGACAAACTTGTAGCTCAAGGGAAGGTTTTCAGCATTTACTTGCTCAAGAAACAAACCTTCAATGGAGAAAAATATCTATAGAAAAATAAACAAGCATATTCTCGCCCCAAATCATTTAAAGCTCCCATGTTTATTACCTGCCAAACATCTTTGAAAAGTTGCGGAAAAAATCGTTTTCAGACTGCATATCGACTGCATATCAACTGCATATCGACTGCATATCGACTGCATATCGACTGCATATCGACTGCATATCGACGGCATATCGACTGCATCGACTGCATATCGACTGCATATCGACTGCATATCGTTGGCTTTTTCACACAAACGCTTTCTCGTTTTTATTATACTGTAGGTAAGGTTCGAAACTTGAGGAATATGACCTGGCATTCCCGAGTTTAGGCGTGGCGTGTGACGTGTTTAGGTCAATGTATTACGAGCAAAAATATTTGCTGGACTGAGACATTCTTTAAATTACAGTTTCAGTAAAAAGTTCTCATCACAATACGCTCTCATCTTTGGGTAATTGAACTAAGCCTACAAATTATAATACCACATGATACTGCTACCATATCGGTTTTCGTACATTTGAACGCAGTCTCGGGCACATCTGGGCACAGAGGCTAATGCACTCTTCAAAGTAACGTCTTCAGTTTCTGTGTCAAATAGCGGGGGAGCTGAGACTGTCAAGGAAATGGTGTGAATATATTTTTATCGCTATTATCATCATTTTTTATGGTAAGATTATCTTTAAAACGGTTCTTGTCATCCAGTGGCTCAAGGAGGTTGATTTTCTTACTCTGTTCCCAAGTCAGTTTGGACTGCCATAATCCCAGAGTAACTTAAATTGACGTTCTCTTCAGTATACATTTCAGACTGCTCTCTCCACCTCCCCGCCGAAAACCACACTTTCCATCCTAGTCCCAGTGTACTGCCATGTTATATCCACCTGTACTAACAGAGCCAACTGAAGGCAACTACTTACAATATGGCCTCCTGTTTTATTTGCCTATTAACACAATCTGCAAGTGGCATTCGCTGGGGCTCAATCTAAATTTCCTTTCCTGTGGTTTGTTCTTGTTGCATGGTCTCAAGCAGTAACGATGAGGGCCTCTGTCTGTGTCATAGGCTCCCCTCTCCGCAAACATGCCCCGGTGGTCTTCTTCTGTTTAAAGCTTGCTGGAATTTTTTTTGTTTTGAATAATAATTGAGAAAAACAAGGAAATCTCTTTTGAGATTTAAGGAAGCGGAAGAGGCAGCTCAGGATAGTAAAGCATTCCATATTTTTGGTCCTTGGTAGTGTATAGTGAACTGTTTAATGTTGTTGTACTGATGTGAGGCCGAAGGAGTTATTCATTAATTATTATAAACTTTTACTTCCAGAATCTTATATCACAAGAAAAACGTAGAAACAGCTGTTTCATAAACGAGCATTGGCTATGATCATCATTACCTGGGCAAGGCGATGATGTCCACAAACTTGTTACAGAATTTTCACACTCATCATATGACATGTGACATGAGCAAGGACACTAGAAGACAAAGGAAAATAATGGAAAACCCTACATTTCTGATAGGAGCGTTTTAAAGAACAGGTGTTTAAAAACTTCTTTCGTAGGCCATTGTTTGCCGGCTCTGTTCATTGAGGACCGTCCTTTTACGTGAAGAGACTGACCTGACAATCTGACTCAGCATTGGTTGAGCAAACCCTGCAAGACTCCTTACAGAAACAGCCCTGAAAAGTTAGGGAAGAAATCAGTCGATGGTTTCCAAAATTTTCCTCGGTTAGACGAGTGTCTTTTTTTTGACGTTTGATAACAAGTTATACGAGATGTTAAAATGAAAAGCACAACAAGTCACTGATCTGATCCAAGCTGAAGAAGTTTACCTTTCCTTAAGAAATGCATACGGCTTAAAGATAATTAAGAACCTAATGAGAAAGATGAATAAGACTAAATATCTGCATTTACTATTAAAAAAAACTTTAAAAAACAACTTTATGCCACTCGAAAGAAAAATTTACGTAAGAGACATGGAAAACATTACCGCAGAATAAGCATAAACCCCAAACCTCATTTGGTGCTATATGTCGGTCAGTGCAGTTATGCAGACTTCTGGATGGCAGACTGAGCAAGAAAAGTGACGTTCCTTGTATTTGGTTTAAGCTGAACTGAAGACAGGGATCTGAATTTTTTGACGAGACTCCGTCAGCGGGATCAATTAGCTCATAGAACAAGAGAACTGAATGCTGTTGGTAATCATTACACCAAGATGCCTGCAAAGTAAACCCGATTCCTCAATTGTTGTTCTCCATCAAATAATTTTCAACCGCTTAAGGGATTCAGAATTGTTAAAATGGAATAGGAAGGCAGGAAATGACCGACTCTATTTTAGGAGGTTTTATCAAAGGTGTTTTTAATCGTAAGGCCGAAGGTTCGAGTCCTAACTGGAACCCCGGAGTTCTTTTTTCATCCGAGTATGTCTGTGTAATTTACTTAATATCATATTCCTTCACTAAACCTCCAGACTTAACCATCATTTAGATTATCATTGCTCATAATCATTACATATCGACATTCCTATCCTTGCATCATGAAGGAAGTTGTTCACTGTGGACAGAGCTTGCAACGAGTCTCCCATAGCTCAGTGGTCAGTATAGCGTCCGAAGTACAAATCGAAAGGTCATAGCTTCGACTCCTTTTGTGAGCCCTTTGAGTTTTTTCTTAAATTACGCCTGTGTAATTCGCTGAATAACATTTTTGTCCAACATAATTCCTATAAAATCATCCCACTTCATTGGCACAAAATCAAATTTTCGCTTTATTAGTCATGCTTTTACCTGTACAGAAGAAGTTTCCCCGTTGTATGATTTACCCCATTGTTCCTTTCTGACAGGGTTCTAAGGCCTAGTTTATACGTCGCGCTAGGGTCGAATTTAATTCAGACGAATTTAATTCCATTAAATTCGTCGTTCCGTCGACGTAAATCGTGGCGTGGTTTTATGCGTCGAAATCAATACGATCGAATTTAATTCCCTTCCCAAACGCAGTGCCTCTAGTCAGAGGTGTCATTTTGAAATAAATTGAAATACTTTAAGAAAATGTATGCATTTCATTCGACGCGACGCTAGGTGCGACGTTAAAACTGAAGACGCGTTATCGATATTTTATCCGTCTTACCAAGACGGATAAAACGTCAAGGACAAATTTAATTTACCAGACGAATTGCATCCGTTTTAGACGTCGCGCTATCGTTGAATTTAATTGGTTGTGCGACCTTGAATTAAATTCGTCTGAATTAAATTCGACTGAAGCGCGACGCATAAACTAGGCCTAACTCATGTAACAATTTAAATATAGCACCTTTAACATTTTTTCCTTTTTGATTAACTGATTTGCCAGCCAAGGGAAAACGTTTGTTAAATGTCCCTTGTGAGCTTGCAGACTAGTGAAACTAGAGAGGTTCGTCAAAATCTGTCTGGAACGTAAAGTTTAAAAAAAACGCGTTATTTTGTCTCAAAGATGCGGTATTTAGAGCGCGACACACTACTACTGGTGCTTCAAAATAGGAATTAGCATCTCACCATGGCAATTTGAACTCCCTAATGAGCATCAGGACCGAGTCTACAGCTCAATCGCATGAAGCGTTTGTTCAGATAACGTTAAGTACATACGCTAAAGGTTCCCTGTTGTTGCGATAGAGAATTGACCTGCTGTAATCCTAAACTAATTTGAACACGTTTTAACCTCAATATCGGCTTATTTTCTTCTAAATAAACAACGATAAGGGACGTTCTCTATTTTAATGGCTTGCTCTCAACTGAAGTTTTTGCTCAACCACTTTCTTTTTTGGGGCATTATTCGATTCTGTCGGGTCGTGTCGCAGAATGCAAGTAAGTGGCTTTGAAAAAAGTATGACTTCAACTCTTACCCACTCCGTTCGACGATGTACCATTCTTTGCCACAGCCTTTTTCAAAACCAACCTGCAATGCAGTAATGATGCTAATAGTTAACCATGGACCGAAATTATCACTTATGATCAGAGCGTTTTGTTAGCTTAAACAGACCACTGTTTAAGTGTTAGGTGTGTCTTTGTTAATTTTATATTTTGAATTTTTTATTTTTGCACTCCTTCCCAGTCTTCCCTTATTTACACAGCTCAACATTTTGAAACTTTTGGTAAATTTCGGTTTGCGTGACATCAATTCCCATAATTTCTCTTGAAAAATGTGTCGGAGATCTACTTGCATTTTCAGTAATAAGCTGCACAAAGGCGTCTTTCGTTATTTCCATCCCCATTACGGCAAGTACATCTCCCGCTTGACTGTTGCTAAGCTGGACACCTCTACAGCTACACAGTGAAAACAGAAAAGAGAACATTTTACATTTAAGTCTTTCTCAATAAAGGTAGGGACCCAACTGAAACTTTCAAATGATAAATAACCTACATTTTATTGACAGTTAGGCGAAAACCTTTTCAAATTGCTGAAAAAATTTGTTTTTACTATGTATGCATCCCTGGCTTTCATAAGTAACCTTCAGCGCTGCAAAACAAAACATAATTTGAACGAAAAATGTAATTTGTAACCTTGGATGTTTAGTTTCCATACCTTGTCTTGGGAATAGCTTTACTTAAGCTTAACACTGTATCCTGTTGGTAAGCTGAAGGTCTCAGTTGCACTACCATTGTCTCAGGCGTTGAAGATGCTTGTCTATACCTGTCTCAGTTAAATAAGTTGTAACATACCGTTTAGGTAAAATACTCGTTTACCTAATCACTGATATCTTGGGCGTTTTACTCATAAAAGGATCAGGTTTCAATGGATAAATTTACATATTGACGTGCTAAAAAAGTTTTGATTGTCATAGCATTGAAGAACAAAGCTAACACCGTCTTAATAATTAGTTAAGTCGAGTTTCTCGACAGAAAAGACCTTGAGGTCTCGTTAAACTAAATACCAGCAAACTTGTATTTTCAATGTGCTAAATTTGAAATCGACAAGAATCCTCGGTCTAAGTAGCTTCGAAGAAGAAAGCAATTTCACACGGTGTTTAACAAAACTAAGCTTCAAAACATGTGAATGTGTGAATGGAGTATTAGTTAACAAAAAAATCTGCACCCAACATGAATGAATATAGTCCTGTTGTTCTGTGACACTGAGAAGCTTTACTGACTAACCAGGATTGCTGTAGGTGAGAATATGTCTTTTGCAACCGAATGCCAGGATACGTTTTAAGAACCCCTTGTTGTGTTCCAACAAACCTGCAAATGAATATTTGAAATATGTCATCAACCTTTTTGCCTTATCCAAAAAAAAAATTGAAAATTATTAAAAAAAAGACGTGGCAAAAGTAATCATAAACCTTACCTCCAGGTAACTAGGTATGGGTTCTTAAATTCTGCTTTCTTCCAGAAGTCATCTAATTCTGATGTCATCATCACCTCAGCACGTACCGCTTCACTGAGACCTATGAGGAGAAAAATTAGTAAAAAGCCGGTCTAACGGCACTGCAACTGTAACAACCTAGCTTAGACTTATTATTAAACGTAACAATGATTATAAGAAATTGTAAAGTCCTCAGACCTTTAAAGTAAGCTTGAGGGCCATTTTCATTGAAAAACCGTTGGATATTTTGTACATCTTTGATAGTTTCAGTGGTGTAAATGAATTCATCTGATTCATTAAACGCATCTGGGGCAATCTGAAATTGAGAAATTTATATATGGATTCATATTACAACCGAGTTGCACTTGCGAAAACTATCTAGGTATACCTGTGGCATACGAGTTATAATAGAGAATATATAAAATCGTAAATGGATCAGACTCCGTCCCGATAAATTATCCAGCATATCAACGATCAAAATCAACGATCAAAATCAGTTCAAAACCACTTCATTCATCGGACTCCTACATGTTTTCGTAGGCGTAGATTGCGTTGGACAATAACTCATAGAATACCTTAATGGTGGAAGACGATGGAGAAATCAGTTGACTTTTTCTTGACCTACATATTCCTCTGGGATAAGAATTGGAAACATTCCACGATAAATCCAATCGGTGGTAAAACGATGATGAATCATTCCTCGTACGTTTGAACTACAACAAACAAAATAGTTTCGAAATGATGACGATGAAATGAACATTAAAAGTACGGGTATAAACACATTTCAAGAACTGAACGGATTTCGTTGAACGTTCTTGCAGACATGTGCAGATAGTGATTGTCATATCTAATGTTTAGATTCTGTGATGATAAGTGAATGTAACATTGGGTTTGATGAACAGTACATCCAACCACGATTATATTCCATGCCAAAAGACTCCAGTCACTCATAATTTATAACTCATAATGCAATCAATCTCTCGAGTTCCCTTGCTTGACCTACCAAACAGTAATTTCCTTCCTTCAGTCTAGTTATACTATAAATGTTTTCCAAATTCTTCCTTTCTAAAAATCAAATCAAAATAAAACAAACCTAAACTTACAGAAGTAAAGTCGGTTTTAACGGCCTGTCCCTCAGCCACTACTAAAACAATGTAGTAGGCATTTTTTCTGACAGGCTTCCAGACATAAGTGGCATTGCTGAAGAAAATATGTGTTCCATCTGTAGGCCGATCACCAAGTAGCACGGAAAACCCAGCCTGCAATGATTGAAGGTCTCTACAAGTCAGCAGTTACCAATAAGAGGCAAACGTATTTTTTTACAGTGACGTTTGCTTGATTTTCGTAAGAACCAGTGAAATTAAATAGAGAGAATGTTTGTGTCTATCTTCCTTTAATGCTGATCCGTGCTTCAAACCAAATTGTTTTTCCTCCACGAAACTGCATGAGTGGTAACAGTTACATTTAATATGCTTTTGTTCAATCATATCAGCACTGTAAAACACTACGAGTATTTCGTAGAGTAATTTTTGTGGGTCCAGGCAAGAATACATTGAGATACCTTGAAAGGAAGTTTGAAAAATTTAAAAAGCTATGAAAAGGTCTTTTCATGAGTCATATATATGGGATTTTTTTTAATCAATCGGTACTTAGATATTTTGTCCCAAAGACAAGTTCATGGCTATTGATTACTCTGTACTGATTACAATACAATGTTTACGTAGTTTTAGTTCTTCCAGATTTCTTTTTATTGGCCTCTCACGAGCCAAACTGATAGAGAAATCATCATAAGTTCCTTTACTTCGAAGCGCTGTTCGCCGGCCCCTCCATTAGTTATGTTGGATATAACGTCATCAGGCAAGCGGGTCTCAAACAACGACAGCGGCAAAAACGAGCGGCTGCTTGTGGTGTCAGTCGGAATTGGGAGGGATGGGTGTAAAATAGTCCCACCTGTGAATGAAATTGTCATTGGTCATTTGCTCCGTAGTGACTATTTTATATTTCCGTTAGCACTGAGAGCTGTTTGTTACGTCAAAAACGATAAGAATTTGAATTATGAGAACTACTATCTGAAGTCATTCGATAGCTTCAAAGACGCCGTGGCCTTTGAGTCTTTTTAATTAAACAACCTGAAAATGAATTACGAATCATTGAAAGCCAGGATTGTTACCTTCTTTGTTCAGGAGTATGGCATGGGAAAAGGGCTTCGAAGACGCACGAAGAGCTTCTTTGAACAAGCGATCCAGAGGAAGGTCAAGTGCAAGGACTCCTTTTAATGACCTATTGTGAAATAGGGCTACAGATACTGTTACTATGAGCCCTAGCTTCGGGTCCATGTAAGGCTCAGAAATCCTGGATTTCTGACCAATAGGAGTGTTGATTGATGTGTAGTAGCTGCCCATCGTTCGTTCCAGTACTCCTCCTCGCTGGTCTCTTATTTCAACAAATACACCGCTGTTGTTGTATGCAATAGTTTTCAATCTTTGAAGACTTTTACGCGAGAGGCCAGTGCCAAGAGCGTACGTGTTAATTTGCACTTTGTGGTTCTGAAAAGGAAATAAATGTCTTTCGCCGTTAAGAAAGCAGTGAAATAATAGTATTTAAGTTAGATGTAAAAACAGTTCTAAACTCGGCAGAACATTCGACACAGGGCTTGTAGTTTTCGGAATGACGATTACTCTTGCTATCGAAAAGAGTACGAACAACAACAAACATATGAAACATATGTGTGAACTGCGGTTATGAGACGTATATGAGCACGATCCTTCGCAGTAAAGCACTATTTCAGCAATAGTGAAAATCAGACCTGAAAAAAATTTCAGGCCTGTACGGGATTCGAACCACTGACCTCTGCGATACTAGTGCAGCGCTCTACCAATTGAGCTAACAAGCCAACTGGGAGCAGGCCATCAAATTGTACTTCGGCATGACGCACTGATTGAAAGAGGAGCATTTCTCTTTGAAACATCTGAAAAGACCAAACCAGGCTCTGGAATAAAAATTAATATCTCTATATTTTTAAAGTGATAATTATCATTAAAATTCTTGGAATCCCAAGTATGTTAGACCTCAGGAATACTTTCACTTGCACTAAAGAGAGCAACTAAGTTGATCAATTACCATTTTTCAATCACCAGTATATCATAGAAAAAAGTAATAGCACTTCACAAGGATAATAAGAAATCTTATCTGAATCATGCATTTGCATGGAAATTTGGTANGCTGCACTAGTATCGCAGAGGTCAGTGGTTCGAATCCCGTACAGGCCTGAAATTTTTTTCAGGTCTGATTTTCACTATTGCTCAAATAGTGCTTTACTGCGAAGGATCGTTCTCATATACGTCTCATAACCGCAGTTCACACATATGTTTCATATGTTTGTTGTTGTTTGATTTATCATCTACGGGTTTATATCGAATTAATTTGATGGCCTGCTCCCAGTTGGCTTGTTAGCTCAATTGGTAGAGCGCTGCACTAGTATCGCAGAGGTCAGTGGTTCGAATCCCGTACAGGCCTGAAATTTTTTTCAGGTCTGATTTTCACTATTGCTGAAATAGTGCTTTACTGCGAAGGATCGTGCTCATATACGTCTCATAACCGCAGTTCACACATATGTTTCATATGTTTGTTGTTGTTTGATTTATCATCTACGGGTTTATATCGAATTAATTTGATGGCCTGCTCCCAGTTGGCTTGTTAGCTCAATTGGTAGAGCGCTGCACTAGTATCGCAGAGGTCAGTGAATCCCGTACAGGCCTGACATTTTTTTCAGGTCTGATTTTCACTATTGCTGAAATAGTGCTTTACTGCGAAGGATCGTGCTCATATACGAAAAGAGTACGTTTTGCCAATTGTCTCGGCACAGCTTAACAGTAAAATTTAAAATGAAACTTTTTTTTAAAAAAAAAAAAATGATTTTTAAAACTGTTCTCCCAGATGTCTTTCTGCTTTCTGGGTGTTGTAAATGAACTGAGAAACTCAATTATTTGTTTTTGTTAAAATAATAAATAAGTCAGCTCGCCATGAACTAGTTGACTGTAAGCCCTTATGAGATGAGTTATTATTTCATGTTATTGACACAAAAGAAAAATTACAAACCATCGTAGTTTGTCCTTCTTCTATTGCTTGATAGATTCCTGCTTCAGCGTCTGATGGATCCCCATCCGTTAAAAACAAGACGATGTTACTTCTCTCAGATCCCTAGCGAAAGTGGATAAATATGATCCCATGTGGTTTGGTTCATTGAATTTAAGTGAGCTTCGGTTTAAAGTTTTAGAAAATAGTCATGGAATATGTTATACAAACATCTTGATTTCTATGCCAATGTTAATTTTTTGAAATACTTTTAATTCGCAATAATATCGATTCTCCTTTGCAGATAATTCAATCACTGAAAGCGTTGTTCTGTCACCATCACATAAGGATTATCCTATCGATGCAGAGGAACCTTATAGGCGCCTTTTCCCATTTCCTTGTTTATCATTTCCTGCGTAACGTTTTGACTTTCTTATGATCAGGCTCTAAACAATAATACAATCAAATTTCCCTTAACGACCAATCTCTTACGCGATCCTGACTTTGTAGGTAACCGTTTTGTCCCTCAGTCAAGACTTGTTTCAAAACCTCTTTTACGGGCGACCTATTTTTAAATTTCTCGAGCGCCTGCGACTGCTTTCATGGCCAGAAATGAAATGAACCCTACAATGTTGTCTCTCAGGTAAGCGACCATTCATAAAAGATATAGAGGTTATTTACTCCAGCGGCACTATTGTCCGTGTCGACCTCTAAAATAAATTGAAATACAGTACATGATCAATCTGGATTTTATAAGAAAATTGAAAGTTTTATTGCATTTGAAAAAAAAAGGCGAGTAGCCTACTGTAGTATGTTGCAATATGGAGAAAGTCTTCTCCAAGTAGCCTTGTACTTTCAGTCTATCGTAATCGACGAGACAATAGACGATGATTATTGACGGGTGCAAGAAGGTTTCAACTCATTTTGTTGACCAATTTTCCCTCCAATGAGGATAGTCCCGTAAAAGAGAGTTAACTTTAAAGTAAACAATAGTATCCCCACTCTCCGAGGAATCAAGTAAGTTGTTTAAAGGGGCGGAATGTCCCTTTTCATTACCTGCCTTGTGACATTTTCAAACATTTTGAATGCGTGTTTGAAGGCTTTCGCATAATAAGTGGATCCTGCAAGAGGAGAATGTCTCATAAAGATGTTCGTAATACTTGTAATAGTAATATGGTTATGAGGATATTTCGCATGATTTAAACGGGCTTTGTTTCTTCTTGACCTGGAGAGTAGAAGAAAGAATAAGCAAGATAAAACTATCTCTGTGTCATCTCGAATCCTACCTTGGTAGTCCTATGAAAAGGTAAGTAAGCTTTACGGGTATCTTTGTTCTTTTTTTGTCACATTTGTAAGTCACAATTAGGAAAAAGGGTTTCCTACCAAGCGCACGGAGTTTCCGGGTCCACTGCTTCATCTTAGCTAAATTTGCAGGGATTCCTTTCGCAACTGTGGCGCCGAAACATCCAGATGGGGTCTGTATCCAGCTGGAAAATGCCAAGATGCCGACCTAACGGAAAACAACGACAACAATAAAACTGAAGAGGGAAAAGTTGAATCCCGTGCCAATATGTCTTTGACTTACGTTGTCTTGAGGCGACAGGGTGTCGAGCACTGTGATAGCAGCATCTTTGGCTAAAATCATTCTCTGACCCCACATGGAGCCGCTGCAATCGACAATGATCACAAGATTCTTCTTAACAGGAGATGCTGTTTCCACGTACCATGATCTGAATTGGAAAATGAACCACTACTGTCAAATGCGAAGGTGAACTAAATTATTTTGCGACGTGCAATGTAAAAAAGGGTCTTGAAGAACTAAGTAATAATGAAATCACTGAAAAACGCGAGTTCTCTTGTATTTCCTTGTTTCTCTAATTGTCTCAATTAGCCTTTTCTTGTATCTTTTTGCTCGTATGGTTTGAGCCCTTTTTATATTGAGACAGGTGTTGTAGATGCAAATAAACAGATCATATAATTGAGAAAGTATGGTGCACAAGAAGTATGTCCAATGAGGCCGGCCATGGTTTCAGTTTAATGACGTGTTGTGAACTTCGTTTTGCATTTTTCAGTTGGCATATAAAATGGAATTGCAACAATGCGTAAAGTGGCACCTACATGTTTGTGGGCTGATTTCTTTCTCATTTAACTTACTTAAACCTTGGATCAAACTTTGCTGAGGTGGTGCCTTCACAATGGCGTGCGTTCCCAGGGTACTGAACGTATTCTCCGTCTATGGAACCGTAATATTGCCATGCAACCACTGAAGACTTTTTAAAGTTGTCTTCGAACCTTTTTGACAACTCAGTATGGAAGTTAAAGACTTCACTTGAGCCACCTGAGGCCCCATGTTTGATAGTACAGCTGGTAGATATATCCACAAAGGATCGAAGTCTGTCGCTGAAGAGGGTTGTGCTATTGGTGTCGTTCAAATACTTACAACATTGAGAAACATTTCCATGATGAGTCCTGGTTAACAACTGAGGTAGCCTACTACTGAGCTCCTTTAGGAACTTCACGGAGGCACTAAGTCGAGCAGCTGCAGGCTCAGTTATACTGTTAAGCAGCCTTTTAATATCAGTGGTTTGATTAACACAGGAGAGAGAATCATATAAGCTTTGAAGACGGTTGAAACCTAGGTTTTTCTCGAAAACCTCGTACAAGTGGTCGGATATCTGCTGAGCAGCAACATTTGTTTGGTTACATCCATCAGCAAATGACAATGATAAGTCAGTTACCCTCAAAATGTAAATCATGAAGACAACTAGAACAAGGTGCTTTAGTAACGCTCTCATTACTCCGAATGCAGGAAATAATCCACAGTAAACGTAGCTGCTGTGGTACCAAAGAAAGAAACAATTAATTCGTTAGGTAATTACGATGGACGTTTTCACGTCAGAAAACTATTACTAGAACACAACTGTTTACTTATGTAATGGAAGAAAAGAAATAGTCAAAAGGAAATATTAGTCAGTTATTTGATGATGACATTCCTTCGTAACATTATCGGCCGCAAGGCATCGAAAAACACAATCACTTGTTTACAGACCATAGACGCATGATGCAATACTGTGCGTGTAACAAGATACCTATCAAACTCTCTTTTTCATTAAGTTAGCAGCTGGTGAGGTCTATTGAAAGATGGACATCACAGTTTACATTTTTCATCGTCTGTAACGACAATACGAGCTTGCCATATAATATAAGGAACCTTAATTAGTAACTAACCTATTATTTTCTTTTTGATTTTACATGTCTACGATTTATGCTACAAAATGCCGAAGAGATTGATCCCAAGTTCTTCAGAGGATCATGTAGAGCTATATGCTACGCAAAATATCGACGAAATACAAAGGTGACTGTAAGAAATACTTACAGTCAAACCTCAACGATCCTGGGGTAGAGCAGAACGTTTTTTAGCACTCTGTGCCAAACAGTGGGTGGCTTTACTTTACTCTTCACTGGACCTGAAATTCAGGAATTTAACCTCATCGCTAAATATAAAGAAAACAGCACTTATATAAAACAACACAAAATAGACTTTCGATCAGCATTATCGAGTGTATTTTTCAGATTAGCTCCGACACATTTCCTGTTTGGATATACTATTACGGTTTGCGGACATAAATACGCGTATTACTGTCAATCACAGTTTGTTTCCAACGTGGGAGCTCCGAACAAACTGCTTATTAGTCTTATCATATGTAGATATGTCTAAGGTGATAAATGAATCTCAAGAAACCTGTTAACAGATAAAATAATAAAAAAATTTCAAGGAACTTTTTTCAATTCACGATTCCTCTCTTGGTTCAGTACTCGACACTGAAGAAAGGATATGGAATGGTTAATTGAAAATAGATGTTTAGAAAGTAAAAACATGCACGATAGCAATAATATTTCATCATGTTGGCTCCCTAAAGGTAAATATTCGTGATTGAGGCTTACCCATTTATGTAAAAGGTGTTACCGAGTGGCATCAGAGGCCCGAGTCACGAGAAAACTTGCACGGTCTTTTACATTTGAATCAATTGTATGGAAGCCGGCTTTGCATGTTCTTCAGTTGGTCGAGGTCAATCGTTTTGGAAGTGTAACTCGTGACTAGTGAAGACACTAAAGAAGATCAACGATCAAAAGTGCATATATTGTCCTCTACAGATTACGAAATATGCGTGTGCGGTGAATCTCTCAATAAATCAACAGTAACAAAGACAGATGAAATGAAGATATATACTCACAAACAACGAGTAAGAAGGGATCGGGGAAGTTCGGATGGATCGGTACGTGAATCCTGGAACACACACTAAGCAGTACCTTAAATTAGTTGGGAAAGTGATTCCCTAAAATAGCAAGGATTAAGATGTAATATCACTTCTTGGTAGCAACGTAAGTCACGCAAATGAAGGGACATGATTGTGCAATTAAAAATAGCTGTTGACTGTTGAAGAGAAATTGGCGGTAATTTTGCCAACTCAAATACTACTTAGAGGAAGAGCAGTCATTTTCAAATTTTCTACATGCGCTCATCGCATGATTTGTAAATTAGTGGCTTCCTCACATGTTTACATGTTTCTTTCTTGACATGTTCTTCACTATGGCCGCTTAACAAGGGCTGTTGATTGTACCTCATCATCGGTGTTAAAACCCAACAAAATTACGCAGCTATATTATTGAAATTCCTTATTATCTTGGGTCGATTTAGTGAGAATTGATTAAATGAAGCCATAACTAGAATATATCTTTAAAATAATTTATTATGGCCTTCGTACTGTCTCAATCAAAATGGCCTTTTTTCTACACACTACGCATAATTTTTGGGTCATTTGCCGCGATTAACAACGTGTTATAACCCCAGCACGTCCGATGAGTGCAGTTAAGTAATAGGCCGCACTTCCTATCGGTTTACCGTCGCGATACCCAAGCGGAAAGTTAGGTGAACATTAGAAACTTCTAGAGTTCCCTGAGTGAAGAGTTTGGTGATGTTTTTAAAAACCTCACGTTCATTAAGATGATAGCCTTAGTTTGGAATTCTTGAATTGTTTGAACTTAAACAATTGGTGGATTGTTCAGTTACTGTTTCAAAGGAACATATTTAAACTCATTTTAATATGAAATGTAATTAATTAAGAAAATTGAAGATTCGAAAGCAGGTTTCACTTGCTTATTTTAGGTCACGGCCATTTATTGTTATTTCCTTTTTGTTCTACTTCAGTTCGTAATTACATGCAGAAGATGCGTAAGTCAATTAATGATAAAGCAGATAAGAAAGGGGTGGGCGCCTGATAGTAGCCATTAAGACTTGTAAAATAAGGTTCCATTACAACAAAAACAGGAAAAAACAAACTTAGAAAACCAAATACAATCGGTATATTCTTCATAAGTAAACTTCTGGTCTCTAATCAAAATTTTGACATAGGTTTTCTAAGTTGCTTTTTACAATAGCATGTAGAAGAGCTGCTTATCTCAGGAGTGAGAGCATTGAAAAACTTTAGACCTTGATAGAGTGCGAACGGCTTCTGATTATTTGTTTTATATACTGGCATATCATTGCCGTTTGTGTACCTTGTATCGTTGACATTTCGTTGGTTTTCAAATTCTCGAGGGAGAATAATGTTTTTGAGTGAGAAAATAAACTGACCCAGTCAGTTCTACGAAATTGCGGACTTGAAACATAATCATCATAATTTCTCTATTCTCAGACAATTATAATTAGATTTATACACTATCTTTGTCACTCGTTTTCGTAATGATTACAATTCTGTGAATGTTTTTTTTCATAGCTTGATCCCCTGTAAAATAGGGAATCGCTGAGTAATGTATCGCTGAGTAAGGGTATCGCTGAGTAATGTAGCACGCGAGGAAAAGAATATTTTTAGATATCAACCGACACAGATGGATGTATATTTTCCTTTCTTGGCTAAGCAGAATAACTGAATTGCTGAGCTCTGGTAACTTTATATTTGTTGATGGACTGAAATTTTACTTTTCTTAAAAATAAGGTACATCATCAAAAATTTGAAACGTACAGCATGGTTTGTACTCAATATCCATCATGTCTATCTGTATCAGCTAAAGTCGCTAAGATTTTTCTATTAAGAGTGGTGTTCACAGTTGTCTGCATACGAGATAAAGCATGGTTATTAATTTGTGTGGAATATGGAGTAGGTCATCATCAGGCGACGGTCAGTGTAATCTTGATACTTCTATCGTATTCTTCTTTCTGCTTCCTATGGAGATTACCGAGCGACACGCTTTTACAACAGCCTTGTATGGTAAACGAATGATTATCGCTTTCGGCTCAAAGTAAATTAAAACAACAAATGGCACAGCTAGCATTGGTCTATGATCCGTCATAATCATGAAAGCTATTTGTTAAACGTTTAGTTATTCAAAAGCTACGAACTCGAACCAAAAGAAATTGGCTCGCGTAATATTTAACGTCACAGAATTACTATTCATAGCCTTAATTGAGTACTTCGCGAATATTTGAACGCCACCGGTACCAGGATGAAAACTTCCCTAAACGTACCTTTCAAGAAGCTGCAACTCAGGGATCGTTGCCGAGCTACAGAATTATTTTGAAGCCTCTACATCTTCTAAAAATGTATGGGAACAAAAACTTTAAAGCAGCAGTCGATTTGAGTCAAAGTTGTATGGTGATGACACTGAATCTTGACCTCAGATTGCTTCTCCGAGAAAGTTTTAAAAGCATCTGAACTGATAATTACTATAACAGATGGGTTCACTTCTCAAAACGAAACAAATTAATGTTTAATTCAAATTTTAGTTTAATTCAACTTTTTATACCTCTGTAACTTATTCTTAGGATTTACAGCAAACATTCAGCTCATCAAGCCATTTGAAAACACCTGTTGAATGCATTAACGATAAATAAATAAGTTATTTTGATGAAGAATTTTTCTTTTCTGAATAAAAACAATGGCTTCTGTTACCATTAGTCCATAATTCTTTATCAACTGGTTGCATTACTACGTTACATAATTCAACAACGCATTGTGTACTCAAAAATAGACGCTTTTATGTAGAAGTTACGTCAGGGAAGGATACACATATACGGTTGTCCAGGAAGCTTAAGCCCTCCTTAGTACTCCAAAAAGAGGAAAAATTTATTTTAGCATTTTTATTATATGGGACTTACAACCGTCAACTTTCCTCCAAAATGCACTAAAAAGTTGCGAAATAATCAAATAGTGGGCAATCAGGTGGCCAGCCGAAAAAAATTGTTTTTATGAATTGGCTTCATCCTCATGTGCCAAGCAGCCTGTTCTTGGTAACATTTACCATTTATCATTTAGCATTTAACATTTATCACTTATCATTTATCATTTATCATTTTAAAGCTCGGAGTCTACTATTTTCCGATACTTTTGTTGCTAACAGTTTAAAACACAGTGGCCTTCTCCTTCGCATAAAGAGTCGGTCCAAAAATTTCAAAAAGAGGTTTATAATCCGTCATCTCATTCAAATATGCCAAGAATGTACACATTTTCATCTTGCCAACTATCTTAGCCAATAAAAGCGAAGACGTGGATAAAGTTTTCCCTTCAATCACAAGAAATGTTGACACTTTTAAGTGTTTTAAAATACCTGATTATACGTATTTGCTCTAGTAGATGCGATCGACATATGAGAGGTTGCAATCTGTTACAATGTTCGCCTTTGTTATAAGTGGCATACATCAAATAGTGCGTGTCTGCGTGTCCTCGATAAACTTAGGACAATCTACATTTCCCTAATGACCAATTCCTTCTACTCATTTGCTTTTGGCAGATATTTCTACAAAGTCAAAGACAACGTTTTTGCTGCTTTTGTTATTGAAGTTGTTTTATTGTTTATAGCACGTTAGCCAATACCTCGTTAGCTCATCACAGCTTGACTCAATTCCTTCGGGCGAATTCATCAGCACAGGCATGTGACATGTGATTTTAAATTTACACGTATAACTGAATTTCTATATTTATATAACCATTTTCATTGATTTCTGTGTCACAAATAGCTTCGGTATCTGGTCGAATTTGTATCGTAAAGAGAATGTTATGTAATACTAGTTACTACTTCTGTTGCAATGCTACAGAACCGAAAAATGCTGCAAAACAGAAGTTATGCTGCAATGCTGAACAGTTAACCAGAATTTATAGATGAAAAATATTTGGACTAGATGCTATTTTCATAAGCGATCATACTAATATTTCATTTTCGTTGATGGATCAAGCATATTTCTAAAAATATCCAAGACAGTTGATCACTCGACCGGCAAATTCAGGAACCTAAATTTATTGTCGTCCAGATCTTGAAAGAAAGACGGGTAACCAACAAGGCAGCTATCAGCACTAGCATTGTTATTTCTAGTGGTCATTTGGTAAAGGACAAGCAGTGGTTACAAACAAATTTGAGATACCCTTGAAAGGATTAAAAATAATTTCAAGCTAACTTGTCTCTGCGTGGAAAATAGGGTTCCAAATCAAGAAAAGATACTGGGATGAATGATTTACCAGACTTCACGGCCATATTATATTTGCGCTTACTATTTCTCGTTAATGGGGAAACTACTCGCCTTGTCGACCGTCATGGCGATATCAACGGCCGAGTAGTCTTCACTCGGTGTTATTCGAGATTCCCAGGAAGTCTATGTTTGTGTGATGATTTTTACTTGCGTGACATTTCATTAAATTAGTGATTGAACTACTTTTCGAATGGTTAGCGAAACGCGCTGTCAAGGTAAGTCACTAAGTACGTTTTCAATTTGAATTTGTCAGATAATATCAATTTAGGATTTGTCGCTTTCGACATTCTCAGCAGTTTTGGGTGTTCGTAATTCTTTGGGTGGACTTCTTCGACGACACATGGAATCCTTAGATTAAGAAGAGGTTGGAATGGAGTGAAATTTGAAATAACGTAGATATTGAGGATCTTTCCAGAAGCCAATTTTCCAAGATTTCCAAGATTAAGATTAAGCATTCTTACTCGGCACTTTTGCGAGGACGGCTGGCAGATTTCGTTATCCTCCGTTGGATCAAAACAGACCAATCACGACCGACTTACGCCATTTGAGTCTTACAGCCAATAACATCACGGCAAAACTGACCAATCATTTTACACGAACTGAAATAAGAGCATTCTACTGACAACTACTATTCACTTGACTCTGATGATGACTTTCGCACAGGTTGTCGAAACGTCAGTCACCATCACCAACAACAGTCCTTCTCAGGACTACACTCACCCGGACAATCACACTACACTTTCACGAAAAAAACTTAATTTAATGAAAAGGAAAAGGTTGTACTGGAAGAAAAAGTCAAAATTTTAGCTTACAGAGTTTCATCCACTTGCCCCTTAGTCTTAGTTCTTAGAAAGGACTCAGTTATTCGTCACTTGGCATTGCTTACCAATCACGGTAGATTTCGAAAATAAGCAAAGCTCTCTTCAGAGAACAGTCTTCGTAGAAATGAACAAATGCTGTGTCATTATAAAGTATTAGTTTTTTATTAGTTAACCTCACAGCTCTTCAAGTAATATTTGTATTTTTTACCAGTCTGATGTTTTCTTTTTGAAATGTGCCATATGATCTCTATAACTACGAACAACGTTTGAAATCTGGTGAAAAATAAATAATTTCCTAGTCAAAAAATTTCTCTCTACTTATTTACTAAGCAATATTTTTTTATTTTGTTTTAAATACAGCATGCATGGACCCCGTAAAACATTTCCATTTCTAAGATGGGTTGAGATTGTTTAGAAAGGCTTATTACTTGAAATGGTTTGAAATGCTTATAGTTTATTGCTAACAATTATGTTTATTGTTGGCTTACTGTTGTGCAAAACATCACTAGTTGTACTCGTACAGAGGGAATCGATCGAATGGAAGAAGATGAACGAAAATAAAAGCAATAATGCTTTAACTTAGCTGTGCAACATAATGCAGCTCGATAGACAATAAAAAGTATTTAGGGGTCTAAAGAATGATATAACTTGAATGACGAAGAGTCAGTACTCATTCATTTCCTGCCACTGTCTCTGCAATAAAAGAACAAGTTGCAAAAGTAAGTGAATTGACGTATCAAGCATCGTCATTAAGTAGATATTATAATTTGTCTATGAAGTGTTCTAGAGTTATCGCGATATCAAGTTATGGATACGTTATGCCCGAAAATATCATAATAAAACATCAGGCCGATATCGTTAAGATTTTGTTGACTTCATCAAAACTTGTTCACGGTCAATCCCCTCATCGAGGCATGAGTAAAAGCAGGAGAAAGTAATGATCCGTTACTTTCTCTTGGCCTTACCCCAAGTACCACTTTCTTGACCCTACAAACCTTGACATGGACACTTTGAAAAAGCGAAGTTGGACGTAATTCAGTGCACCGAGGTGTCCTCGAGGACTAATCTTGCGGAGGTCATGAATTTGTGATAAATCATTCTGGTACAACCTAATGTATGATGTTGGCCATTCCTTGTAGCTGTGGTATGTGTGAGTATGCTGTATATTGATGAACTTCCATAGCCCCACCTCATTATTACATAAAACCCGTGAAGAACTGTGAGAAGACAATGTAAGCTCATGTACAATCCCAGTATACCTACTTTTATATCACTGTTGGGCGAATAAAGCCGGTTTTCGTTCCTTCTTCCTTCCATTTGCCTTTTTTCAAATGTTTTTCGGGAACTGAATGATTCGTTGGAGTAAGCTGTAGCCTAAAAATACAACGAATAGAATAAACTGAAAAAGAACTAAATGACCATCCATCAAGGTACCACCCACAAGCCAAGTTTGCTAAAGGTCTGTTTTCTTCAATGTAATGAAAACCTCCTCCGCTGGCGCTCGCCCCTCATCATTGGACCTTACTGCCTTCGACCATTCAACAGACACTAAAATTGCTTTGTTACAATGATTTTGCTTTTGTTTAAGATTCCGATGAGGACTTGCAGAGGTGAACAAGAGACTGTCAAATGAAACAATGAATTTCTCTGAGTTTATTTCACTGCACCTGGTTTATCTTCAATTGTCTGAAACATTAACCACTAGCAACTTCAAACCTTACTAAGAAGGACAAATATACTGCCAACTCAAACCACCCAAGTTTTAGTCTGAAGTTTTCGTGTTAAAATTAATGCAACTGAGCACCCTTCCTAAAGTTATCTTATGATTGATTTGTCAGTTGTACTAACATATAATTTCTACAAATGTAGTAATTATGTTGATAAGTTTATGAATTAATTTGGACAATCTTTTACCCTTTTCACAGATGCAGCAAGAATATCTCCTCGTCTGACACTGTCCTGTACGCTGGGAGTCGAAGAGGATCGAAAGAAACTCCATGAATAATGTTTCTTTAAAAACTTCTTTTTAAACGTAGTGCACACCTAAATAGAAAAAAGCTAAGGGTCATAGACGCATTTTCATACTTTCTTCCTCAAAATAACGAAACTGAAAACCAAGAACATACAAACAAGAAGCAAGTAAAAAAAGGAAACCAGCTCTAGAGCTAACAAGCTAACAATCACATGATTAATTGTACAGCACACGAACGCGATACCTCTTGATCCATTAAAATGTTAGTGACAAAGAAGTACACGCCCTGAAAAGATATCAAGCACAAATTCAGCAAAGGACCTTAAATTGAGAATATTGCTCTAGTTCAACAAGCGCGACAGAACGATTTTTCGATAAGCAACCATTTCAAACGTATGCTATTCGTAAAGAGGGTGGTCATTAGGAAGGTAAGAGTACAATAGAATAGATTTGTGATTATCATGCAAGCGGCGCCAATATCAGTAAAGTGACCAGTAACGGTGGAAAGACTTTATTGTCCATAAATTCACGTTATAAGAAATTAACGTGTATGGATGCAACATTTTTTATTGGTCGCTACCTGAAAGCTGCTAAGTAGAACAAAGGCGTAAGACATAACTGCTGCGTCAGAGTTTATTTGCAGGAAACCCAGCAACCAAGTTATTCCCAGCAACGGTAGAAGTATCAGAGATGCCTTTAGTGCCACCCTGTCAAACAATGGTCAAAGGAAGAGTTACGTTTTTTTCATATAACAGAAAAAAGATAAGGTTAAATTACGTCGTTTAACAAGGAGGAGTTAACAATTTGGAGAAAAATGATCAAATGACATCCTCATTGGTGCTTTACCTACATTGACTAACCCTAAAACAGAACACCAGTTGGCTAAAGATTGGATAGACTCAGAATTCGTTTTTGTGCGAAATAATCAAAGATTTGGTGGAAATTAAACAAACACGTAATACATCTACACCTTAATCACTCGTTACACGAAAATAGTAAGTTATCCTTTAACTGTATGAGAGAGGGAACGTCTGATCTGGGACAAACTGACTAGCCTACCGAAGTTGAAATAACATCCACACCACAATAAAGCGCTCAGATTCTACCTATTAGAGCATGCACACACTATGGAGAAACGTTGTTGTCGAAGGCATTACAATATCTGCGTAATACATTGTTTTCAGAAATTCAGACTGAAAAGGCCACTTCCTTTCATGTAAAGCTGCCAGTTCGTAGTGGTCTTCATTTTTAACTGAATGTAGTCCGGAATTCCTTGGCGATCCTGCGGGGTCCTTCCAACATTTACAGAAAGGTGCAGTATTAAAAGAAGGTTCATTTGAGACTAGTGGTGAAAATCGACATTAAGTGTATTGTGATGAGTTACAAGCAACAAGTAACAAGATAAGCTTTGGTTCCACTTATGTCTTCTGATATTTCCAAAAAGCTTAAATTCTGCATGCATGTTACCTTATATTGTTGATAAAGTTCTTGTCACTGGTGTATTTCTGTCGTTTTTCTGTTGTTGGGGATATTAGCACTCCAATGACCATTCCAAGAATCACTATATTTGTCTGAAAAACAAAATGAGTCAATTATTTAAAAAACTGCGTCACTGAACTGAGTGATTAAGAATATTCTCAGACCAACCAACCCTGTCCACGCATAACATGGCAGGAGTCAAGGGACCACACTACCGTGATTCATATTTTCAAGTTGCTACGAGCACCCTTAAACATGATATTAAAATCAATACTCACAAGTATTACAACCACAACAGGAGGAAGAAAGAGTGAGACTAGCACAATTTCTGTCATCCAGCAACTGCATAAAACAAAATCCTGGTCGTAAATGAACACTAACATCATTTGCTCTACGTATTGACTGTGTTAAGCTAAGCTTAACGTTCCTTTGCCGTGAGAGAATTTACCCGTGGAAAGGGGCGAAAAAGAGTTGTATTTAAACCCAATATAGGATGATGAAATAGGAGTAACGGTAATCAGTAATCGCCTATTGATACCAAGTTGGATCTAATTCACCCGTAACCCCATGCAACCTGCACACATCGCCATGGCCATGGCCATCGCGGAAAAGTAATCTCCGTAATATTTAATTCACATGAAACACATATTGAATTGACTGAAAATAACTCACTAGTAATGGGTGGATCTTGTTCATTAACACGTGTATTTTACAGATATTTTTCATGATACACATTTTAACTGAAATGACTGTGTTACTCACATTTTCCCTACTCCATATTTGTCCCAGAAAATAGCCATGGATAAGGCTGTCACGCTCGTAGGTAAACCTAAATAAATAAAGTTATAATCAGTTTCATCCTTAACTGGTCTTCATACCATCCTCTAGGGCTTAGCTATCAGCACAGAAAAGTTATGTGAAGAGCAGAACTGCTCAGTGAAAATTATGACCTCTCTCCGCTACATCTTTCTAAGCACGTTTTTGACGGAAACGAAAACTAAATTGTAGTTCGTTTCCCGCTCCTACAATTTTTAGAAAAGCACACAGAGAAAGCGAACAAATGAGCAAATTAAATCTTACCATATCCTAATATATAATATCTCTTGAGGAAACTTTTCTTTTGAGTAGAAAGTACTTTGATGATAGCTAAATAGAGATGCCATCCTTCCACGAGCATCCAGGCAAACATGGCAGTGAGGAAAAAATGCAAAGCGATTCCCACAGCCTTGCACAACCACTATGAGAGATAAGTCAGAGTCAAGAGAAGACGTCGACATCACTCACTTATTGAATTACCTTGTTGCTTTCAAATGACTTACAGTTTATCGAGTGAAGAATTGTAAATCTAATACACTGTTCTAATTACCACTTAGTCATTTGTCACCTCAAGTCATCGGTACAACAATTGAAGGAACTGCCTAGGTTGTTAAAAATTATACCTTGTTTTGCGTTTGACTCGTTCCAAAGAAGAAAATAAGTTGAACAACTCCCATGTTAAATGCTAGATTTTTGTGCACGTGTATGCGATCCCCCTTGAGGCTGAAAAAAGAATAAGCGAATGAATGGCTTGAAGATTGACAAACACGAAAGATCTTCCTTCTAATTGTGACAAGTTTATTTTTGACTCTAAAGGCAGATATAGCTCACCAAATAGGATACAGATCTATCCTGTTGTAGAATACTGCGAGGCTGAAGAGTTAGTTCGAATTTAGTTCACGATTTGCGATAATCACAAACCACAGGTATACAAATTAAAGAGAGCAAGTGAGTAAACATGCCAATCATAGTCCTTCAAAAAAAACCCCATAGATTATCTCAGAGGGTTACAAAACACTTCGTATTTTGCCTTCACTGCTCAACCGGACACAAAGAGTTGATATCTGGGCCAGCCAAGCCACGGTTTATTTAACGCCAAATCGATATGCTAACAGAACCCTATTACAATTGAAGTAAACTAAATGCACCAAAGCCGGACCCGAAAACCCCTAAAAACCAGCAGGTGGAAAAAACGGGGAACGTGTACCCCCGACCAAGGCAGTGATGCCACCCTTGGGGTTTTAGGATTTCCTATAAATGACATTTTTACATAGTTACTTAAGGTACTATCCGAGTAACGCTCTAAATTTATACAAAAGACGAAAACGAACACGAACAGCTACGCCCGGTGAAGGCTGACCGTAGAATGCCTTGCTCTGCTAACGACCTCTGCTTACAAAGCACGATCCCATAACTCTCTGTGTACCTCGCAGCCACCCCCAGACCTCCGATACGCGCCGGCAAAATATCAATTTATGCTAATTAGGATTACCACAAATTACATTTTTACACACATCACTTCCTTGTTCTGTAACGTAACTAGCGTGCATAAATCTTACCGATAGCTTGAATATCTTCGCCCTAAAATTAGCGAAGTCTTTTGCATGGAAAATTTTCATCGGTGAAAAAGCAGAAAACAACAGCAAAAACGAAAAGTAGATTTACGTAACCTGTTAAAGTGCCACAAACGAAGGTTTTAATTTGAGAAAGTTCATTGATCTTGTCATTTATTGGCCATAGCCAACAAAAATAAAGGAATGATTTTTTTCTGACGCTTTTGTGGAAAAGTATCGTTACTTGTTTAAAATCAGGGTGTAAACGATATTGAAAATTCTTATCGGCCTGGGTAAGATATCCAAACCTCTGGGATGACAACTGTCTCGCTGATTCTTAAACGTATAATATGAAAGCATCCTCTTTTATACGTATGTTTAGATTTGTTACTTTATGTTTTGCTTCTTCCTCATCAGTGTCTTTATCATGATGGCTGCGATGGTACAATGTGCGATTGTGGCTGGCTACTTACTGTAAGATGCTGTAGAGTAACACAGAGAAGAAACAGCAAGCGGCAGACAATGCACACCCCACATAAGACATTAGAGACAAGATCAGGTCCTCATCTTTCTCAGTGACGTCCTGAAAAAAAATAGAGGAAAAACTATGAATGTCAGTCACTTTAACTCGGTTAGAAAAAAAAAATTAAACTTAACGCCATTTCGAACAGGTAATTACAATCTCAATTGACAATCTCAGATCTGCAACAGAAAAAAACTGCAAGATACTGAAACAGCTAGGAAGGAATGTGATTCCTTAATTATCGGCCCATTGCCCCAGATTGTCACAATACCGATTGTGTTTTTTCTGAGTTAATCTTTAACACAGATTTCTAGTGGTTTCCTAGTGAGTTATAATGTGATGTCAAAGCATGAAATGTGTCACTGAACGAAGAGCTCCACCTCAAAAACGCTGTTCTGCGTTGTTTAGAATTGCGGAGAGAAATATAGATCTGTTTTACCGTCCTCAGGATGATAAAATTTATGAGGTATGTCATAACTATTACAGGAGGAAAAAGAGGCTTTACGGTCCTGACTTTACCGGTGAACCATGTAAATCCAGAAGAAGAGCGAAATTAGTCAAATGTGAACAATGGCACATTGTGTGGGTATCATTAGTATGGTACAGGTAACATCCATCGTCAAACCATCGATCGTCTGGTCCGCTGCAAAAGAAAGAAAAATCTTTGCTCGAAGGTTGTCCAGTAAACTCGTTTCTTGAGCCAGAATGCCGGCCTTATTAACCCGACTGAGGGTAAGTAAAGTGCACAGGAGAAGTGCAAGGCCGGAATTGCGAATGGTCGCGTTAAGGTTTGTCAGTGGCCAAGCCAAGCTAGCGAGCTTATGGAATTGATTGCCGATTGAGATGATGTTTACTTACGTCGAGTCCATGTTGAAGAAACAACAAAGACCTGACGAGGTGTGATTTTGATCCTGAAAAAGGAAATGCAAAAAAAACAAAAAAAAACAAAAAAAATATAAAAAATAACGATTGAGAAAAGCAGAAATTTGTCATTGTCAAAGTAAATGATGGACGAGTGTAAAGTTTATGTAAAAAGTGAGTGTGACACAATTTTCTCAAACTCAGTTTTGGAAATTAGAATCAAAAGGCTAAACATTGTGTTTAACATTGCAGTGGGCTTAGCGATGGCTCCTTTGTATGATTTGAAAGTGATGCAAGCAGATTTACTTTATTTCTAAGTTACCTACCAAGTGCTGAAACACTAATGTGATAGGCTCTCGAAGGGAATGGTAAAAGTGATCCTCCTCGGAGACAATTCTTCCCGATATGATAATGGAGTTGAGCTCCGATCTATTGTAGGGCTTCTGAGCTCCCATCTCTTTTAAAGATCTGAAAATACACCACCATTAGAAAAGACATTTTGACCGACTAAAAAAAATGAGAGTATAGGGAATCAAACAATCGAAAATTATTACATTTTGTAGTGAAAAGCTTCGTTTTCGGTTTCCCACCTTATTTCTAAGAGAGGATCTGAGGTCAGCAAACCTTCCAGGTTCTTGTAAAAGACGGTTGACACACTTGCGTAGTATGCTACCCAAGAAAGAAACCAGCCATTATTGATTTTGCATTCGATTAGTCCACTGATCTGACTAAGTTCCTTTAAAAGCTTGAGTGTTGTGTTCAATTGGTTCAGTGGTCCGGCTAAGGTTGGTATCTTCAACATGGCAAATTGTGCATTAATCTCTCTGTTGCACTTTATATTTCAAGTTGGTATCGACCTTATAGATGCTAAATAAGGTTGGTATCTTCAGCATGGCAAATTGTGCATTAATCTCTCTGTTGCACTTTATATTTCAAGCTGGTATCGACCTTATGGATGCTAAATAAGGTTGGTATCTTCAACATGGCAAATTGTGTATTAATCTCTCTGTTGCACTTTATATTTCAAGCTGGTATCGACCTTATGGATGCTAAATAAGGTTGGTATCTTCAACATGGCAAATTGTGCATTAATCTCTCTGTTGCACTTTATATTTCAAGCTGGTATCGACCTTATGGATGCTAAATAAGGGGTACAGGATTCATGTGACAATGAGCATTTTCCAAAGTATACTCTTGAAAAACCATCTATCTGTAAGGTGTTATGGGCGGCATGTGTTGGCCTTTGATTTTGCCATGGAGAATCAAATATAATATGTACAAAACTAACAAAAAGACTCTCACACGACAGTCGCGAGCATGAACAAAGTATTAATAATAAAGCACCAACCTTTGAGAACTTACGCCAAAACAAAAACTTAGTAAAGGTCTTAATTAAAAAGATAGACTAACACCAACATGACAACTAGCAGAAATCAAGTAGTGTTCGAGGATTAAGTTCCAATGGAAAGGCTGACTTAGTATGGACAATTAAGACTGTATGTTGTTTTAGGCCTTTGTAATATATTTTTGAGTCAACAGCCATTATTGACCTAAAAAGTTCCAAAAGTATTAATCAAACACCAGAACAACGATTTGAATTTTTTGTCCCTCTAATTATCTAATAGTTTGCATTTATTCTTACCACTAATTATATACACATCGTTAGCGAGCATGCCTCCTTTGCCATTAACACAATTCAAAGCGGTGCCATATTTGTTATACGTCAGATGCGCAATAGGACTTGACGCACACCATCCGCCATCTTGGACAACGAATACCTTCCAACCACGAATCCTTGTCACCTCTGCGCACTTCTCCACAGCATCCTTGCGAGTAAGGAAGCTTCCTTTCAACAACTCATGTGTTCCTTCCATAGTTGGCACTGCACGGTCTCTTTCATTATCACCAAAGCAGCCAAGACTGCTATAGAAGCCTGAACCAAAAAATTTTTTTGATAATTTTCAGGTTTATGGGTTGATTTCTGCGCGACCTCGTGTGTTTAAAAGCAATATATCACTGATCCTCTTTTCTTTTTCTCACTTTTTATCTTAGGCTCGATGTTATATACTTGTAAAAACTTGTTCTCCTGCCTTAGAACACATTTGATGACATGCTAAACGAGAAACCATCGAACAATTAAATTTTTTTAAAAAGTGATGCTTTTTATTCCAGGAGGACTTCAATCACTTTAACCAACTGAAATAGGTACTTGAAATAAATTTTTGAAGTTTAATTTATTCAGTGTGCACTATCACCGGGTCACGGCTCACCTGAAGCTAACTTGTCCTTTAGTGCATTCTCAAAAAGAGAAGTTGGATAATAAATCTGATTCCGAATGATTGATCCAATGATGAAACATGTAAATTTATTCTAAATGACTCGCTGTTTGGTTTAAAGTTTGACAGTTTATCAGGTGCCATTTGTGAATTTTTAGAAGTGATGAATGAATAATTTCTGAAAATAATTTTTTAAAAAGTGATACTTTTGATTCCAGGAGGACTTTTATCACTTTAACCAACTGGAATAGGTACTTTAAATAAATTTATGAGGTTTAGTTTATTCAGCGTGCACTATCACCAGGTCACGGCTCACCTGAAGCTAACTTGTCCTTTAGTGCATTCTCAAAAAGAGAAGTTGGATAATAAATCTGATTCCGAATGATTGACCCATTTCCACCAACCGCAGACAGATCATACATCAATGAGTGTAAAATTCCCTTGAACTTAATCATCTCAACCACATCGATGGATATCTCTGTACATAATGCAAAGAAATGAAAATATTATACAACGTAGATAAAATCGTCAGAAATATCGAATATATGATGTAACATTTGAGTGCAAAACAGATTCCATTCAGTTTGATGACTATATTCTTACCAACATTAGACGCTTTGGTTCTCAAGCTTAAATTGTGAAACTTTTCTGGATCTGTAATGGCGTTGTTTATCATATCTTGCACCTGTTGCTGAGTTACAGCAGTAACGCTGTCTTCCAGAGCAGCCACCATGTCTGTGGCCTTGAGAGCAATCTATAACAACAACAGTAGCAAAAAACAAAGTTTGGCTCTGTAATTCATACTGATATCTGAATAATAAAGCAACACCCCTTTTCTGCCCTTCAAATAGTTTTTTTTGTATTAGTTTTAAGAAAAAACTCGTTAATGAATGGTTGCTAAGACACGCTAATGACTCTCCATGACAACTGATCAACCAGGTATTTGACGGTGTCGAGAAAGTTGAAGCCTCTGGCTCCGTAAAATAAAATGGTTTTATGGCTTTACAGAAATATGACAGAATATTTCATCAAAATTTTTTTTCTACCCTGTCCATTCCGTTCCAAGCCTGTCTGTTTTCTGTGTGGAGAAGATTACTCACAACATCACCCATGATCTGCAACATCAAAACAAATAGTTTCCAAAACCATATGGCAACAACAAAACTAATAGTTAAAAATGCTAAGGTAGAAGAATAAACCAAGGTAAAATATCTTACTTCTAAAGGAGACGTTTAAACTCAAACAAATAATATGACACGGTTTTACCTCAAGAAAGTTCGTTAATTCATCTTTGGTAACGTTCTTCATCAAGTTCGTTATCCTTTCGTTTAAATCATTCATGATATCCACAGCAGAGAAGATATCTCCTGAATAAATCTTGTCAACTTCCGGGTCCAGAATATATCGAAGTTCCCATCCAATGGCCAGGAAATCTGAAAAGCTGGGTTCTCCCTTTAGAAGTGTTGAAAACTGTTAAGACGGAGCAATAAATGATAACTGTTAGTTAATTGGTCATGGAATACGAAAGTGACACCCACGCTGAAAAAAATCACTGTAAATATTTTTCAATAAAAGTGCATGTGGGTACAACAAATTGAAAAACAAAGAAAAGATAAAATGTGAATCACTTACCTTTTGTTGGAGTTCATACATTGCCTTTGTCAAGCAGCGAGTGAGATCTGGTACTCCCCACACCCCGCTACTGATGCCGCTGTAACAAATTCTCCGAGCATCTCCTGATAAACAGAGACAATTATAACTTTCGGGCAAGTTGCATACTTCTATTGATTCTAATCTATAATGTTTGCATTACACAATATCATATAAACGTATCATGTTATAGCTTTTTAGATAAAGTAAGTCAGACCTTTATGTAAGTGTCAATGTGTTTAGCCTAAGAAGACTAATTGGGGACACTATAATTAAAATACACTTATAAAAAATTATATATTTACACGAAAGTGATTAAAATTTAAAGTTTAGAAAGCTAAAATATTCCTATTGACTACAAAGATTACTGTTATTAATTAGTTTTATTAATTACAATCTCGTTTAGGTTCAGTTTTCTTATTTTCTTTATGAAAACACATAAACTTGGCGAAACCCTTTGATTTTTAGTGAGTTTTGCACACGAAAACGGCCCGAAATATCTGACAGAGTGCTTGCCATAGCAAATAGTTTCAAAACGTGGTAATACTAAATCACTATTCCGTAGCGAATGTGTAGAGCCTTTGCGAACAAATAATTCAGAAACGCAGTCGGGTACAAGACCATGTTTGACTTTGTACATAAGTACTGTGATATCCTGAAGCCGTCTATTATATAAAGACGGTATATCGGCACGCCTTAGGAGTTCTTCATATGTAGCAGAGTGGGATTTATAAATGACCCTTAGGGCTCATTCTTGTAATCGTTCTAACTTTCTATTGTCTGATGATTTACAAAAATGCCAGGTTAGATGGCAGTAAGTTAAATATGGCATTATAAAAGATTTATACAATAGTGGCTTGGCCTTGCAGGTTATTAAGTTCCGAAGACGTGAGAGTACTTTGACTTTCTGGCTTGCCTTGGTACATAATTTGCTAATATGCTCAGTGAAGTTGAGAATTTCATCTATATCAGTGAACTCCCAGTGGTTTGATTGGTTCTGTGTTCGCAATAGCCATATCGTTTATTCTCAGCGTTTACGTTTTGTCGCTCTTATCTTTATCGAGTTTCAGTCGTGGATTGATGTTTAGAGACTGAAACTTGTCTGGGTTGGCCAGTAGAAAATTGTTCGAATACCATGACAGTGCTTTCTGGCCCTGTGTTTTCATTCTGCATCGTACTATTTCATGTTCGCTTCCTTTGACGTACATTTGATGGTCGTCAGCATACCCTGTTAAATTTACGTCATATCGTTCTGGTAGATGTTCCATGGTAAGGGATAGAAAGACGATCCTTGAGGGCATCCCCGTTCTATCTTCATCCAGTCGCTAGTAGCATCACACATTTTTACTCGGTTTAGTCTGTCCGCAAAAAATGATCGCATAAGGTTAAGTGATCGCCCTCCAAATCCATAAGCCTCTAGTTTCTTTACCGTCAGAGAGTGGCTGAGAGAATCGAAGGCCTTACTCATATCTGTAGATAGTACTGATACCAGTTGCTTACTATCAACAGCCTGTTTCCAGTCCTCAATCAGCATAAGCAATGTTGTTTCGCAACTATGTCTTTTTCCGTAAGCTGTCATTCTGTAGTACAAAGTTTCATCATAATGACTTGTCACCTGATTGCTCAACGGGAGTTCAAATATCTTGTCGACAGCTATAAGGAGGTGATTGGGCGATAATTTCTAGCATCCTGTCGACCTCCCTTCTTAAATACGGGTGTCCACTCACCCATCTTCCATGCACTGGGCCAGGTACCCTGCTCTATGCAGTTGTTATAGAGGCTGGTTAACGATGCTACTGTTCCTTTAGCCACATTCTTAAGTAATTTTGGTGGTAGTCCTGTGTCCCATCCGCTGGACTTCTTTGGATTGATCTTTTCCAGTGTCTCTTCCACTTCAGCCACTGAGAAGAGCTTGAATTCAAAATTTGTTCCTTTGTGGGCTTCTCGTACGGTCTTAACACTGCTGTGGTCACTAAGATCCTCTTCCGTGATGTTATTCACATGGTCTCCGCCAATACTCAGTGCCTCATTAGTGAAATATTTGGCTAGTATCTCTGCCACTTCCGTTTGATCCCTAACGGCATTATCTCCCTCCGTTTTAAGGTGTATTGCTGCCGATTCTTTACTCTTATTGCTGATAAAAGGCTTGAACGTGTCATAGAATTTCGATGGTCTTGATTTGTGTTCGTCCGCCTTAGTATACCAGTATGCTCTGATTGCTTTTCTACGCTCTCGTGTAGCTATATTTTGATATTTCCTTTTCAGTTCTAGATTCTCAGCGGTGCGGTATTCAGCAAAGGCAAAAAGGCAAAAACATTATTGTCTTCCGCGATAAATGAGTGTTGGGTGAAATTCATTTTCTCACTTGACTATTCAGGAAGAAATTAATTTAATAAGTGAGGCATTTCTTAATATTTGCTTGGAGAACTTTTTGATCGAGTGTTGCTAAACTATCATATCCATTAAAAGTAATCAAAGAGGCTAAGTAACACAAGAGATTGATGAACATAGAGTAAATACATACTAAAACAACCTCAAACTGAGGAGAAATATGAGAGGGACCAGACCGAAAATAGTTTTGATGTTGCGAGTAGCTGTTTGAGACTGTGATATGTAAGTTTTCTATATGATTATAAGAGCTTACTAAAGCATAAAAGGTAATAAAAATACCTAAACTCAATTCTAAATAAGACTCACCACCAAAGTGATCCTGTGGACATGACTTGATGTCGGTGCTGCTTGCTACAGTATGGCTCCACAAGATATCTTGGCTCCATTCAGATGAGCAATATGCCAAGTCACCCTCAGATGCTGCAAGTAGAGAAAGAAGACTTCAATTTGCATTTAAAAAAAATGACACGAATTTCCAGTTTCAAATCTTACCTCGGCATTGTTTCCTGTCACTGTGGAGAAAGAAGCCCTGGTTACACAGGCATTGATAGCTTCCATGTGGACTGTTAATACACACATGCTGACAGCCGCCATTGTTTACTGTACATTCATCCAGATCTAGCAAAGAGAAAAGTAAAACACAGGTTTTATCCTGTAGGGAGTTTGTGTTTAGATATTTAAACTTCCAATCTGTGGTCTGGTGCAATCATTTTACATGATGTTTTTTAAAGATCCCTCACCGATGCACTCATGTCCATCACCGTTGTAACCTCGTGTGCAAACACATTCAAATGAAGAACTATTTCTTGCACAATACGCATATTCAGAACACTGAAGCGGACAATCGACTCTTTCTGTAAAGAGAATAGTTTTGTAATCAGATAAACAAAATTGACAATTTCAATGAATTTTGTATCTTTGGTTAAACCAAATCGTCATCTTTGGCATTGTAAGTCAAACTTACCAACCACTTGTGTGACATCATAGCCATCCATTTCTATGGCAAGGTGTTTCAGTCTTTCTCTCTTTACTGCCAAGTTAAGAGGTCTGATAGGAAGTGTTGCATCTGAGGCAAACACCATCCAGAGCTCAGCTTGCACAATTCCATCTCTAAAAAAAGGTTTAGTCCAAGTAAAGCAGTGTCATATTTATCCTAAGTCATTATTGTACCCAGAGGTGCCTGATATCACTTACAGATTTGGTGACTTAGTCCCTGGTTTTTTCAGCAACGAGGACTTTGGGAAAGGGAAGGATACGACGTTGTATTACTTAGAATACAGGGAAGTAAAAGAAGTATTTCTATGAAAGAAAGCTCTTTCAATTTACTGACAAAGAAATACAAAAGGCTCTAAAAAGAAACCAACGAACAAACAAATTAATAAGTAAATAAATGATTCATTGGGCGAAAAATCCATTAAAAAAACATGGGCACTTTAAAATAAACTCTGAAGAAAGCCCCGCTTATGATCACGGTATTATTGTAATCAATCAGGGTTGCTTGCTTCACCTTTCTTAATTTCTCTTAGATAAAAATGATAAATTATTTTGTGCTGGGCTAATCGTTCTCAGTGGGTCCTCCTCTGAGCAGCAGCAAGAGAGATTATACAATGCAAATACCTGTTGTGAAGTGCGGCAACGTACATCCGTAAGAAAGTCTCATCACTTTTGTATACATAGTCGATCTTGAAAAAGGAATGTGTATATATTTATATATATAACTATCTGCAGACAGTACTGTTTCGACCTTCTGGGCCTTATCAGTGCAGTTTCTTTTTTTTTATGTTTAAGGTGGACGGCCGGGCCCCCGATGAAGGGCGTGTGCAATGCCCGCCGACCAACAGGACTAATCCCACCCATGGCTTGCGTGCAGTGCTGATGCTAGGATGGAGGAGAACCGAGAGGGTCACTTCAAACGACCCAACATTTGTGGTGTCGTCTAAGCCATGCCAGAGTGCTCAAACTAGAGTAAACTAGTAAGCATGCGCATTTGCAACAGCAATGACTCATCCTAGGTAGAGTGTTCAATTTGGTCATGAAAGCAAAACTTTGTATGCCAAATGCCTATATATATATAGGAAGTCTGCGTTTCGATTTTTCCGTGCTACTGTGCTCGATACTGTAAGTGGTAAAGTAGATTACTCACTCATAAGGGGATTTTACATGAGTGAAACAAGCTTGTAGGGATGAAAGCGTAGTCTTTGTATTTTGCTAACTCAACATATATTGCGCTCTACTTTTAGGTATCGAGCAATGTAACAGGAAAAAATTGAAACGCAGACTTTTTATAAATATAGATATATATTTGATCAAACATTTTGGGGTGATAATGGCCGGAAAGAGGGAATCATAATAATAAATAAAAGTAGGTGGGAAAGTTATGGTATTTAATATACGTACCCCTTGCTCTATTTCCTTGGAAAGTTTCTGAAATTGGGTCGTATTGGAAAATCGATATTCTGCGATCCAGTTATTTGCTGGGAACTTTAAGTCAATCTTGTAAACAAGATCTAGAGCTTGAGAGAAATGATATCATACATGTGATGGGGCTGACCTGAACTGAAGCATAGAATTTCTTTATCTTATGAGTGCTAGCTTGCCTGTTCTAAAACGAAAAATGTATTGAAACAATTACCCCACTATGAATTCAAGTATTTGTTTAACTAACCAACACAATAAGTTCCGTTTCCTTTAGAACCCAATGCACACGTGCACAAGAAGAAAGGCGCCTCATTGGTACAGACACCGTACACCTTATGACAGTTATGTGCTTGTTCTTTGCATTCGTCAATATCTGAAAAAGAAGGAAACAAAGTTGACTGGGAAGTAAGATAAAGAAACTATTGATCAGAGAAGATGGTGCTACTAAAGTACATGATTGAAACGTGAGGCTGCTAAGCTGTACTCGGTCTTCTTATAAACCGATGAATAAAGGGGATAAACTGTTTCTAAAGAAACTGTGGTGCTGCGTCGGTGGGGGTAACAAAGTAATTTGCTTATATACAACTACGGTAAGTTGAAATTGTAAATTGGCCACCGTAAAGAGTTAAAAAGCTGACGTTTCGAGCGTTAGCCCATCGTGAGAGCGAATGTTGAAATTGTAAATTGGCGACCGTAAAGCGTTAAAAATCTGGCGTTTCGAGCGTTAACCTTTCGTCCTTCGTCCTCCGTTCATTCGCTCTGATGAAGGGCTAACGCTCGAAACGTCAGCTTTTTAACTCTTTATGGTGACCAATTTACAATTTCAACTTATTTGTATATTACTTTCTCATAAACCGCAGTCATTTCAGTGTTTTTGATCCATATTTTTAGAAATCCCCAAAAGAGTTAATTTCAATGGGGAATTATTACACAGCACCTTAAAAAAATATGATGAGTCAAATGTCTCACTAATACCCCAGCAGTGTGCACCAACAAGCTGATTCATTGGAAATACAGCTTGCCATAGATTTTCATTAATATTCGTACTCCGGAACTTGTCCAGGTAGCGATAAAGATGGTTTAAATTAGGGAAGAGGTCTCCGTGCTCTTTGCTTTGTACGAATCCTCTTTGAAAATTATACCACGTCAATCATCATCTCTAGAGAATTTCTTTACTTAAATTGAGAACGGAAGAGTTTCGAACCTCAGTTCTATTAAACAGATTTCTTCTACACCGTGGCCCTGCCCGCCCGCCCCGCCGCCATCGGGGAATAAACCTGCTGCAAGATACATACCCCAGCAGTCGGAACTATTATAGCGATATCCTGGCAAGCAAATACAGGTGAAGCCGCTGTAGGTGTTGTTGCAAATAGACGATCCCTTGCAGTTATGTAACTTGTCGGAACATTCGTCCAAATCTTTAACAAAATAAAAACCATAATGCCCGTGAAAAGGCGACAACATATTCATGCATGAGAACGTTAATTTTGGGGACCACTTAACTGCTGAATAGATTAAGAAAGAGTAACTTGATTCACGTTTTCATCAACATTACAAATGCAGAACCGTTTTTATTATTTCCTAGATGCTATCATGTAATATACTTCTTCATTTCTTGCCTGTTCAAATCATGGGCGGATATTAAAAAACTGAGTATTGGTATGCGCTGCGAGGGGTCGCATGGTTCAAATAAAAATAAAACGCTTATTAAGGAGCCATACTTTTTTTTATTTAAGACGAAACGACGAAATATACCTTTTGAGATTAGGAAGACCATGCGACTTATTAACTATGACGAGGCAATTACTGAAATAAACTTTAATCACCATATTAACCATGTAAAATTTCAGATAAGTAGAATTTCACAACTTTAATCACGGTTATCATAAACAGGCACCTTCACATTCTGTTCCATTTCCACTAAAGCCGTGGTTACAAGTGCAGTAGAAAGAACCGTTAAAGTTGGTACATTCGGCGTCAGGATGGCAATTGTGTGTTCGAACTTCACATTCGTTGATATCTGCAAGAAAGTTGCGTAGACCATAAACGTAAAATTAATGAAAGTAGCGACCACGGTGGATGTCATGCTCAGCAAGAGTCCTATGGACGATGATCAAGGGAGAAATACGATAAACATAGTTAATTTGCTAGAATGTACATGATGCAATGAGATACGTTGGAATTTCAAGATTTTTTTTTTAACTACCTTTCATCCAGTTCCAAGCTATTTCTTGCGGACATGCATGTGAATCAAAAAGTGGGCACGAATGAAAGACACTTTTACTCGTGTTCTCCTAGTTTGCCATATTTTATTTTCCTTTCATTCATAGAAAAAATAACACCGTATTCTCAGTTTCGAGTTGCGTAAGTCAAGGGTAAAGTATTTCTTTTTACATTATGAGGTTAGAAATTGAAATTAGTAAAGTTCTCATTTTTTTACCTGCACAGCGAAAACCATCCCCAGAGAATCCAGGGAAACAAGCGCAGTCAAAAGATCCTTTCCTGTTGGTGCACGAAGCACCCCAGCTGCAGTTGTGCGTGGCTGTTTCACATTCGTCAATATCTGGAAAAAAAAAAACACATTGTTCGCAAAAGACATTAAACGTTAATCATCGGCTCCATACAGAATGAATGCATCTGAGAAAAAGCTTATGCCAAACATAAGTGTTTGCTAAAACTAAGACCTTGTTCTATTCGTAAATGTAAAATCTTGAAAGGAAAAATAAAAAAAAGGGATTGAATGAAGTTTCGAGCAGTGTGGAGAAAGTTAGCAAAATCAGAGTTCGTTTTTGCCATTTTGCCTTTGCCATAAACATGATGCTTATACTCACTATCAGTAACCTATTCATCTATTCTTCAGGATCGACGTGTTCATTTTGCATTTATAATCTGCCTCTAGAAGAATGGAATGATTCTATTCCCTCTTACCCTGGCAGAAAACACCATTTCCAAAGTAACCGCTTAAACATGTACAGTTGAAAGATCCATTGGTATTTGTACAAATTGCATCAGCATGGCAGTTATCCAAGTCGTAGTTACATTCGTCAGTATCTAAAGTAAAAAATCCAGAGATTAAAAACTGAGTTCATCATCGGGCATTTTGGCAGAAGTAGAGTACATCGGCACATTACTGAGCGTGTATTCTAAGAGTCTCACCGACACACTTGTAGCCCGTGCCATGATATCCACGATTGCAGGCACAAGTGAATGATCCTTTGGTGTTGATGCACATTGCGTGTTCATCACAGGTATGTATGCCTAGGCTGCACTCTTCCATGTCTGACAAAAGGAAGAAGGAAGACGGAGACATATTGGAGAAAAGGTGTCAAATATCTCGGTAGGACTGGGGTCAATTAAATGAAGTTCCTCTCTTAGAAAGAACTTAGAAAATAGAAAGAGTGTTTATGGAAAAGGAATGCATATGCCATGCATTATCATTCTTTTTCGCTTTTAACTTTTATTATAAGTTTCTAGTTATTTGAAGCTTCATATTTAAGGTATCGTTATGTTAAGTCAAGTGATATTACATTTTTTCAACTGGTGAATTTCTCCTTCTTCCTATTTGTTAAAAGCCAGCCAAGTGTCTGGTAAACAACTGCCTAATGATTATGGTACGCTTTTGCCTAATATGGTCAAACTGTTTGTTTGTTTTTTTTTTTACAGCAATATCCTCCTCCTTTTGTCCAGGAATCAGTATTTGAGTGATAAGGCTACTGAACTCGATCGCCAAACATCATGATTTGTCAGTGCCTTGCTGATAAACTATTTCGCCAAAACCAATATTTAAACAATAGAGTGTTTCTTGTCGAGGAACTATCGGCTGATAGTTGCCCCGCGGAAATTTGA